GCAGGAAGAGCTGCAAGGTCTGCTCGTCGTAAGAGAGCAGAACTTCTCCATTATGGGTGTATATAATAGTGAACTGAGTTTGTACCGTCCCAGTAGTTTAGCAGAAAATAAGAATGAAAGAGGGAGTCATTATACTGGGCATGGGGAATGGATGAAAAATCTATGCCCCTTTAAAACTGCAGTCTCAACTGTCGTTTTGATCAATCTTATTAATCAAGTGTTTGGGATTTGCAAAAAGCTGGTGGTGTGATCAAGTTTTGCTGTTATTCATTTATGAAGAATTCCCTGCCATTATATCTTTGATAAAGAGAAACGGAAGATAGCCTGCCTGCATGTCAATGTTCATGTTAAAGATATGAATATAAATAATTAATTTGTTTCTTCTATTTTTTAAACCAGATAGTTGAATTTATTCAAAACGTAACATCAATAAATTAATTGTATTTCCTAGTGCCAGTCCAGGAAAAAAATTTACAGGAGTTGTATGTTGTTTTTCATACATGCCATGCCCATGAACGCAGTCCTACAAATATTTTACTTTTAGTGTCAGTACTCAAATGTATTTTGGATTGCGTGAGAAATAGGTAGGAGTGGATGTGCGTTAGTTCGATTAGGAATTGAGTATCAATGAAAATATTAAAAATGAAACCATTAGTTTCACATCCTATAGAACCGAATAGAACAGAATCAAACAGTTTCAGTTGGGTACAATCCGGTTCTTTATATTGAAACATTATAAAAATAAAATATGAAACTATTTGTCAGATTAAAAATTACACAAAAATAGAATAGTCATTCTTGTAATCTAACAATATAAAAGATCAATTAAACACAACAAACAAAATCTACTCCAAAACTTAAGATCAAGCAGAAAAAAATGATAAACGATTAAACACAACATAAACGGTAACATCTGGATTAAAAAATTAATTCTTAAGAAATTCATACAACAATATGCTAAAAATATATGCAATATTTATCTTTATTAATCCTCAAGAATCTTGATTCTTGATGACGGACGACTTTGAAAATAACAAGAAATTTGAATTCTTATTAAGGTCCTGTTTGATGTATGTTTTTAAGGAAATAATGCATTTTAAATAGTAATGTGATAAAAAATATGTGATTAAAAAAGAAGTAAAAATTTTGAATTTGTATGTAATATTATTTTAATGACAATTGTGTGGTTGAAAATGAATATTGAAATAAT